AAAAATCTCCCGTAAAAAAAAAAAAAAAAAAAAAAAAAAAAACACTGGACTGGCAGGTGGCATGGTTGTTGGGGGTGCCAGACTCCCACATGGCCAACCACGGCTTGCTTTCTCACTCTCCTCACCCCTCTCTTTCTTTCTGGCGAGCGCACGAGCCCTATAGCAAAAAACTCTCAAAAAAAAAAAAAAAAAAAATTGGGGCTGGCAGGTAGTGTGGCGGTTAAGGGCACTGCAGTTGATGTCCCGGACCTGGCGACTTGCCTTCTCACTTTCCCTCTCTCTGTCTCTCTGTCTCTCTCTCCCTCTCTCCGTCCCTCTCTGGTCAAATTAAAACAAATAAATAAATAAAGTTAAATAAAATAATTAAAAATAAATAAATCCAATAATTCTTAAAAAAAAAAAAATCAAGAAGGCTGCACAGGATGTTATTTCCCAAGCATTTTTTGACCAGCTTCTTTGCACATCTGACAGAATTTCTCATACCACCTTCCAGTAGTAATCTCTCTTATTTTGTTCATACTTCTCCATCATCACAGTTACCTTTATGTTCACAGAGTCTCCATGTCTTATGAGATCTCCTTCATCTGGCCAAAGAATGATTCTTTTCAAAAGTTCCTTCTCAAGCATACTTAGTTCTTTTTTCTTTTCAAATTATTTTTCCTAACTATATTTATTTATTTATTTTAATTTGACCAGAGAGAGACAGAGAAAGAGAGAGAAAGTGAGAAAACCACCACCAGGTCCAGGACTCAAACCATAGTTACCCACGTAGGAGTCCACGCCCTTAATCACCATGCAGCCTGCCAGCCTGTATTACAGTTCTAAGGATAGGCCATTATCCCCCAGTTTTCCTTCTCTCCTCCTTCAGGTCCAGATGTAACTAATCTAAATCATGGCCTGCTCCGTCCATACCCTGTCAGAAGACCCATTGGTATCATCAGGTGGACAGGAGTGCTATATTATTGCACCTCATCACCTAGTATTTTGAATAAATGTCGAAAGACCAATATGACTCACAGGATAAAAATTTGTAAGATAAGCACTTAAATTATACAGAAAATGTTACACTTTTCTTGTCTCTGCACAGCCAATAGTTTCTGAAGATCAGACAGCAGCCCTGATGGCCCATCTCTTTGAAATGGGATTCTGTGACAGGCAGCTGAACCTAAGGCTGCTGAAGAAACACAATTACAACATCCTGCAAGTTGTGACAGAACTCCTTCAGATCAACAACAATGACTGGTACAGCCACCGCTATTGAGGAGTGACCTTGTATTAAATAACTACCTGCTGCTCAGAGATGATCTGTATTCTGTCATTGGGGTGTGGGGGAGAAGCCCTTGCTTGTTTTTAAACCTCATGAATGTATTATATAGAGCCCTTTATTGAATTATCAAGACAATACCTGTTACAGTATTTTTGGAGCAAATCAAAGATCAGAACTTAAAATTTTCAGTCTAGACATTGGATGAGTAATAGGAAGACAGTTTTTCAACTGATTTGGATAAAACTCCTTTCTCCATTTTAGTGCATTGAAGAGTATAACTTGAATTTCTATAGAACCTTTTTCTTTCTGCTTGTATTTAAGTTTATTTCTTTGGTTACTGTGGATGTTTTATGGGATATCTGTTAATTGTCAATTTTTAAAGGAAATTACCTTGGAAGTTGTTTTTCAAGAATTATTCTCATAATTTCTGTAACCTACCCCAGGCCTCTTAGCTAAGGTGGCACTGAAATGACACCTAGCGCATGATAGAAACATTGCTATTCTTCCATTCTCAAGAAGGTCACTTCCCCACAAAACTAGGAATTGGCACTTAGCAATTGCTTTCTAAAGACCCCATCGGTGCATTTAAAAGTACCTCTTCCCAGGGATCGCTGCATTTCAATGAAGAGGAAAGGGTGTGCTGATTGACACACCAGCTCCTATTGAGCAGTGTCTATTGTAGTAATTTAGCATACATTTTTCTTTTATTTAAGGGAAAAAAATGTAGGTAGGTAGTGTGAAATATTTTGCTAATCCTATAGAGAAGGAAAATAACCTTTCTGTTACTTAAAGGGAAAAGTAAATTTAACAGTTAATTCTTTTCTTTATGTCAGGGCAGATCTTATTGTAGAGTATGGCAAGTAGAAAAATGTGAAAAGGGAAAAAGGCAGGGTCCTAGTTTCTCAGTCAAGTTCAGAGTGGGCAAGTGAGTCTATTGAGAGTTGTAGGAAATGCAGACGATTCCTTGATGGTTTGAACTCTGTCCAGAGATATCTGGTCCTAGAGAGCCCAGAACAGGAAGATGGTATTTCACAAAATTTTGATGGGGTAAACTCGCTGGAAAAGTTTTTGTTTAATCGACTAGAATGAATAGGAAAGAGCTGGCTTCCAGAAGTACCGGGGTTTCCCTCTTTATAGAACGGAGTCTTGGGTAGTTCGTGAAGGAAAAAAAAAAAAAAAAAAGGAGGAGGAAACGCTGTTTTATTCATGAAAAGGAAGAATCTTGGCCTGAAGGGGAAAGGATAGGTAAAATAGTATTTAACCTGGTTGGTATTTATAATGAAAGGTGATTTTAATTATTAGCCATAATGATGTTTATTTACAGTGTAACTCTTGGATGCTACTACATAAACCAGGCTGTTTATTATTTAAACGTTTTTACGGGGGCTTCTGGGTAGGAGGAGGAGCGGCAGGGTGTGTGTAATTGGGTTGATTTCCAGCGGGACCTGTCTTAACCATCTGAGTAGGGGTCCAAAAGAGCCCTTGGGACCGGTCGTTCTCCCCGTTGTACTTGTACATAACCATTTAAAGACTGATGAAATAAATGTTCTTTGAAACCCCTACCTGTACCGGCTAGCCCTTGCGGGAAGCAGCGCCTGGGCCCGCAGTGACCTTTGAAAATCTGTCTCCGTCCGTCTTGGGGAGGGGGAGGATCCGGGGAGGGGGGTGGGCCCACAGGCTGGGGCGGAGCCTGCGCCACAGGCTGGGGCGGAGCTTCATCGAAGCTCCCAGTCAAAGCTGGAGGCGAGGGCTTTATTCTCACACTTTCTGCTTGCAGCTGTTTCTTTCGCTGACGTCCCTCGTAGGTAAGGTGCTCCCGGTACCCTGCTTTCCCTTTCTAAGCTGAGGGCCAAGGGACCTTCTGTGCCGCCCCTCGCCCGACATACAGGCACCTGCGGGTACCAAGCTTGACTAACGGCCTCGCGGTGTCCAATAGGACTTGAAATCCTCCCCCAAGTAAGTCTCACCTTTTCCTTTCACGCCCACTATGCCGGCCCATGAGAGCCGCTGAGTAGAATGAGAAGCAACCTGGCCTAGGGGAGCCAGGGTCCCTGCACCCCTTCAACGCCGCACAGCCGCTCCCGCAAGGACTCTGCTGAAAGGGGCGGGCTCCAGTCCTTGGCCCCACCCAATCTGGAGCCATCTTGTCCTAAAGGCCCTTCTCCCCCGGGACGGTCTTCAGACACGTCGCCCTCTTTCAACCGAGTGGAACCCCGTTCTCAGTCCTGAGCCAAGGTAAGGCTCCCTTTATTTTAGCCCAGGAAGATCGGAGTGCGGCTCACCTTGCCCACCTCATTCTGCCACCGCTCTTGATTCTTTGGGAAGAACCCCAGAGTTAGCCTGACCTTTCCTAGTGAAGGACAGACCTAACCTTACTACGCCCCTCACCCAGGTTTTCTTTCCACTCCACCTGACCTAGCTGTCAGGAAGAGGATTACAGCCTCCCCATCACGACTTTTTTCAGGTATGGTTCTCAGCCACGCCTGTGAGCACTCAAGCCCCCTTTCTCTCCTGTTGCAGAGACTTCTGTCTCCTATTAAGCAAGCACCCACGTGCATTCACACGCAGCGCTGAAAGACTGTTACGGGATGGGGAACTTGAGCTGCTCTATGTGAAATCCTCACTTTAGGTCCAGATCTCTAAAGACCTATACTTAGATGCAGAATGAAAAACCACAAATGTATAAAGTAGGAAAAGAGAAGTTGAATAGGAAAGTGGAGATTTTTCATAGAAAATAAATATACCCCCACATTAGAAAGGTATGTTGGGTGAGCAGTTGCCAGAAAAGTATAACTGCACTAGGTATAGGGTTAGGTTTTATTTTTATTTTAAGATTTGGTAATGAATATTTAGCTAGGGAAGGCCTGTCATAGTACCTGGCTTCTTCGTTTGACTTACTGGGCTTTTATCTGTGTTTGCACACTTCCCTCAGGTGAGAAATTTGATTACCTAATCACATATGCCCAGTGTAGACTTTGAACATATATAAGCATCCATATTTGGCCAAACGTTCTGTAGGATTCCTGTGTACTTATGTGGAATGACAAGAGGGAAGTTTTTTTTTTTTAAAGAGAATTATTTTTTTTATTATCATTTCTCAGTTTTATCAGAGAGAAAGAAAGAAAGCCACAAAGTCTAGGACTCGAACTGTGGTCAGCCATTTGGGAGTCCAGTGTCTTTTAACCACCATGCCACCTGCTGGCCCCCACAAGAGGAAAGATTACAACCTTCCCTAAGTTTTTGGCTTTAAGCTTGTCAAGTTAATAAAAAAGAAAATGGGACCAGCAGGTGGTGTAGCAGTCATGTCACTAGACTCCCACATAATCGCAGTTGAGTCCTGGACCCTGGGGCCAGTAGGTGGTGTGGTTAAAGCAGTGAACTTTCCCACATGGCCTACCAGGGTTTGAGTCCTGGACCTAGTGGCTTGCTTTCTCACTTTCCTTCTCTCTGCGTGTCTCTTTCTCTGGTCAAGTAAAATGAATGAATGAATAACTACAATTAAATTATATATATATATATTTAAATCACACCCAGCACCTATGTGTGCTTGCTCAAGATCCCAGGAGAGTGGAGGAGAAGGGAATGCAGTGTGACCATCCCCCTGAGAGGGGGGGTGATTTCTTACTTTCCTTCTCACTGTCTGTGCCCTCCCTAGCCTTCCCCAAGTACACGCGTCCTAAGGAAAAAAAACTTAAAAAAAAGGGGGGGGAGGGCAGAAAATTAGATTCTGCTTCCTGGCACTGAGCCTGATGGGAAGAGGGAGTTTTCACAGGATCTGGCTGAAACTCCTGATCAGCTGTGATTGATGTAGCTGATGTCCTTCTGCTGTTATCTCAGGGCTGTCTGCTTGTTTCCGGCTACCTACCATGAGCCCTCTTCAGAGCAGTCACAAAATGGAGTAGAGGAAGGGATTCTTCAGAGTACTACCCTCTCCGCCCCCAGCCCTGTCCTACTCCCTCCTGGGGAAGTGACAGCTCAGCAGCTTTTCCAGACCAAAATAAATGTTCTGTTCACATGGAAGTCCGTTGAAGTGAAATAATTTCAGCGCTTTTGTTTTCCCTTTTGTAGGCAGATTGATCTCACTCATGGTGATGAAAGGAGTTGAAACGCATTGAGATTTCTGATCTGGAACTCCATGTTACCGCTCCATTTTCCTTAGACTTGAGCTTATTTAAGTTGTGGTGAGGCTTCCTGCCAATCTTGAGAACTGGAAACCAAAATTATACCTGGCCTGTGTGCTAACAAGCTTGGCAATGAACTAACTTTCTTCCTTAGTGAAAATATTTTCCTGAACCATGGGTGAGGTGTTCTCCCAGATGGGCTCTGGGCAGGAGGATGAGAACAAGTCGATCCTGCCCTCGGACTCAGCTCTTGGCAGCAAGGCCGCCAGCTATTCCAGCATCAATAGCAGCAAGTCTTTTTGTTCCTGTGTACCTTGCGAAGGGGCTCTTGGTGCCAGCTTTGTGACTTGTCCCACCTGTCAAGGTAGTGGGGAGATCCCCCAAGGTGAGTGGCCCAAGGCTCTGGAAATAGCCTAGAAGCCAAGAAAAGCTCAGAGCTGACCTGGGCCCAGCCCCTCTAAGTCTCCTTGAATGGGGTTGGATCTGCTTCCAGCTTCGGGTCCCCCAGCCTCAGGCCAGGGAGATGCTAACTATCCCTGAGCTCCCTGCAGAGCCCAACCCTCTTAGTTATATTCCCCAGTTCTGTGTGTATGTGTTGGGGATAAGGGTTCTAACCACTCTGCTCCCTGGGCAACACTGTCTTGGAATCCAAAATTACCTTTCCAAAGAAGCTAGGTATCTCTGATTTGCTGGTGACTTTCAAAGACTCTTTGTGGAAATCTTACCTCCATTTTAGAGATGGCAAAACTGAGCTGCCAACTTCTGTAGGACAGCCCCATGCTCCTAGTCGTGGTCTGGGGCAGAGTTGGCACACTTCTGACATTGTTCTATAGGGTGGAGGGGTGCTCCTGAAAGGCTGGCACAGGAGGCATTATTTATGATGCTACTTGGCCCTTTTCACCTCCTTTCTACAGAACTGGAGAAGCAGCTGGTAGCTCTCATCCCCTATGGGGACCAGAGACTGAAACCCAGGCACACGTAAGTACCTCTTTCTTCTTCAGGTCCAGGCTATTTCCCCAGAAGGCTGCTCCACTTGTTTGTCTCCCCCACTTTAACCCTCTCATTTTTTCCCATTGGTTCTTCCCTAGAAAGCCTGAGCCTCACCGAACTTACATACTAACTCCCTGTTTCCAAGCATTTTCTTGGCTTATGAAGCCCCGGTGCCCAGTGGAGGTAGCATACCATTTACTGCTACACTGCTGTGCTCTGCAGGCTGTGACCACATGGGAAGCCAGAGTTCAGTTCTCTGTCCAACCTAAAGGCTGGTGCAGTAGCATGTGCCTATAATCCCAGCCACCCAGGAGACTAAGCAAGAGACTGAAACAGAAAGATCCTAAGCTTGAGACTGACCTGGGCCACTTAGCAAGGTCTTGTTTTAAGATTGAAAAAAAAAACAAAACAAGGGCCAGCTGGTGGTGTGGTGATTAAAGTGGCTGGATACCACAGAGCTGACCACACTGCAGTTCAAGTCTCAGACCTAGCAGCTTGAGGAACACACCAGGCACATGTGCATGTGTGCTTAAAATCCCAAGAAGAGGACAACCCATTTTCTAGGACCCCCTCCCTTCTTAGGAGCTCTGTTTTTCCTCTTTTAACAAATTCTCCACTTTGCTTTATGAAAAAAAAAAAAAATTCTGAGAATGGAAGAGAAGGGATTGTGGTGTGGCCATCTCTGGGGGGTGATTTCTCATTTCCCCCACACTATCTCTTTCTCTTTTGTCTACAAGCGCATGGGCCCTGTAGCAAAAGAAAAAGAAAAAGAAAAGAAAAGAAAGGAAGAAAGAAAGGAAAGAAAGAACAAGCCCAGACATGGTGGTGGTATGGACTGATAAGCCCCAACTGGGTGATTGAGGCAGGAGGATGGGATGAAGGGGGAAACCCCAGGCACAAAAGATGTCTCCTGAGGCTACTTGGTGTCTTTCCCTGAAAGTATCACTGCTGCCCAGAAGCACGGCCCTTCTCCAAGCCAGGGACTTCTTGGCTCTGCAAACCCTCCCATAAGCATGCAACCCTGACTGCAACTGGTTTGAGGAAGTTGTTTTTCCTAAGCACTTCCCCTACTCTGGCAGTTATGATCTGTTTGTTTTCTTCCTACTAGAAATGGAAAACCAGCTGCTCCCTGTTCTGGGACAACTCAGGCAGTGGGAGAGGCAGCTCGGGTTCACTGGGGGCTTATGACCCTGATTATAATCTGAGTCCATTTGACATGGATCCCTGCAGTTTCTCCCAGCAGTCCTCGGCTTCAACCTGGGAACCACCACCCAGTCTCTACACCAGAATTAGAAACTAGCAGTGCTCCTCACAAGATTGCATATCTCACTTTTAAATTAGATGGTGAGGGGCTGGCAGGAGGCATGGTGATAGGGGTAGCTGGCCTCCCACTTGGCCAACTGCAGTTCAAGTCCTGGACCTGGTGACTTGTTTTCTCACTTTCCTGCATTCTCCTCTCTCTCTCTCTCTCTCTCTCTCTCTCTCTCTCGTCAAATTAAAATAATAATAATAATTAATTAAATAAATAGATATTTTAAAGAAAATAAATTAGATGGATGAATGATGTCCTGTCCTGTATAGGAATATTAACATTTAAAACTCACATTTAGTGCAACTTATTTCTTCTAGAGATGATAGCATTCTTTGAGCTTTTTGCTATGTGCCAGAACCTGCACTTAGTGGTTTGGTTTTTTTTCCCTTGTTATCCCATAGCAAACTAAGAGATAGGCAAAGTTATCTTCATTTCACAGGTAAGGAAACAAGCTTAGGGAGGTAAAGTGGGTGGCTCAAGGGGCCAGCAGGTGGCATGGTGGTTGGAGTGCTGGACAATATGGCCAACCACAGTTCAAGTCCTGGACCTGGTGGATTACTTTCTCACCTTCCCTTTGTCTTTCTGGTCAAATTTTAAAATAATAACAATACAATTTAAATAGTTTTTTAAAAATTTGGTGGCTCTGCATTATTGGACCAGTGGGAACAAAGAGGTGGGAGAGGAAGCCAGGAGCTGTCCCCTAATCTGTGCTCCTGCCTACTCTGGGCAACATCTGTGGAGATAAATGTGCACATGTCAGGAGTAGGGGCACAGGGGAGGCTCTTGTGTATGGACAGGAGTGTCTGAACCTCCCCAGATTTCCTAGGTGTTCAGGCTTCACTCCTCCATCCCAGGTCCTCTTTCCTACAGGAAGCTCTTCGTGTTCCTGGCAGTACTCATCTCCCTGCTGACCTCCTCGTTCATCATCTTTTTCTTGTTTCCCCGGTCCATCATCGTGCACCCTGCAGGCCTCAACTCCTCCACAGTGGCCTTTGACAATTCCGATATAAACCTCAACATCACGGTGGGTGGCCAACCCCTCCTTCCCAGCAGCACTTCTCTATAGCCTTTGGCCCATGTGGCACCTTTGGGCGTGAGTACTCAGGGATCTTACATCACCCGTAGGGTGTGGGAAGCCTGAAGAGAAGCAGGAGCAACTATGAGCCCCATAGCAGATTGTGTAGGAATGGGATTCTAAACAGTGGGGGTCAGATTCAGGGCCAGATAAATCATAAGGTGGAGTAGGGGTGGCAGTGCCTGAGGGCCCCAGAATAGGCAGACTGAGTGGAGAGACACTATGCAAGGTGGAACCAGATCCAGAGCCAGCTCAGCTTCTTAAATATAACTCCCCCAACTGTACCATTAAGAACCCCTCCAAGGTGATCCTAGACTAGTCCTCCGTACCTGAGCCAGATTTCTGCAATAGGCTTCTCTTGTCTAATGATAAGCCACCTTCACCCCTCTTTTTCCTTATCTTCATTCCCAGAATGTCTTGAACATCACCAATAGCAACTACTACCCCATCACTGTGACCCAGCTGACCGTTGAGGTCCTGCATCTGTCCCTCGTGGTGGGGCAGGTTTCCAACAGCCTCCTCTTGCACATGGGCCCTTTGGCCAGTGAACAGGTGACTCCCCTCTCCCCAGCCAGCCCTGCCTACAGGTGTGTGGATGTGTGTGGCAGTGGAGACGGGCAGCTAGAGCTGTTCCTAACCCTGTGCTCATCTGGTTGACAGATATTTTATGAAGTAGCCAGCAGGATATTGGATGAAAATACCTAGTGAGTATTTCTTGATCTCTTCTCCCTTAGCCTTTTGCCCTGCTAGGAAACCCAGATAATACTTATCAGGTTTCCTTAACTGCTTAGCAAACTAGCTAGCATTCGGCCTGCTCTCCTGTGGCCAAGGCTAAAATAATGCAAGGGTTCAGGATCCCTAGTCTCTGCCTGTTTGAACCTAGATTGGAATGAAAAACAGGCTGGAATTTGGTTAATCTTTACAATATGTGACCCTGGGCTCAGCCTGAATCACTGAGGAAGATGAATGACTTGTTTTCTGCTGAGAAATAGGTAAATTTATCTTCGTATCACAGATTAGCAAACAGCTTAGGGAGGTAAAGTGGATGGCTCAGCATTATGGGGCCAGTGGGAACAGAGATGGGAGGGGAAACCAGGAGCTGTCCTCTATCCTCCTCCAAGTAAGGGTTAAAGTGATAGAGCAGCAAGGTGCATGTTCAGCTTAAAGGGGAACAGGAAAGAGAGTGGCTTGTTGGGGGGCCCTGATGGAAGGAAAGAAGGCCTGGAAAGTATGGAAACTGGGATCTACAGGTCTCTGAGCTTCCCGATGTGAAATGTGGTCTCTTGTTCTCTATCTTTCAGCAAAATCTGTACCTGGCTGGAAATCAAAGTCCATCACATGCTTTTGCATATCCAGTAAGTAGGGCTTGGAGCTCTGGAATCCCCTCTCTCACACTGACTTCAGTCTCATGTGGGAGAAAAAGTCATCCAAGCTCCTCATGAGCCTTTGCTGCTCTTGAGAATTACAAGTCTAGCCCCTTCTCTGTGCCCTGTCTTGCTTATAAGCTATTGGTGTGACAGCCACAGGGATGTCTGGAAGCTGCTGGAACACAGGTGGGGTAGCCACCCAGGTACCTGGGGGACAGAAGAAAAAGGAGGAGGAAGTTCTGAGGAGCCAACTCAACCCAGACTGTGGAACAGGGCCAAAGCTTGCCTTTTCCTCCCAGACGTGGCCATGAATCCTTCTTCCTTTCCAGGGGCACCTTGACCTACTCCTACCTGAGCCGTTCTGAGCAGGTGGTCTTCCAGAACTACCAGTATGTGGACTGCCGGGGAAACACCTCAATGCCCCACCTGCTGACCTCTCACCCACCGTGACCGTGTGCTGTGCCTTACTCCAGGCACCTGCACACCTGTCTGCATCTCCAAGGACTCCCTGGTGCTCAAGGGAGGACTGTAGTGACTTTGCCAAAGGAAAAGTCCTGCTTTCTCACCCCTTATCCCGATCCATCACCACAGAAAGCTGGCTGTGATGTTAGCTTGCTACATGCACACACACACACACACACACACACACACACACACACACACTGATTTCCATGGGTGTTCTCAGGAGTCAGTATCAGGTCCTGCCCTTGGTCTTGGTCTGTCCTGAGGAACTTTGAACCTGACATTTTCTTGGGGCTGCCTTGACAGCCCTAGAGTGGCACCTGCCTTTTCCATGCTGAGCACCTTGGTGGTGAACTCCATCAGGGCCCATTCCCCACCTATCTGAATAAGAAGAAGCTATAGTTTTGCCTAGCTTTTAAAACATGAACCCTTTTCAAGTTTCCTACCCAGTGAGAAGAAAGTGACTTTGGGGATACCCAGTGCTCTCTCCAAAGCCATTTAGGGGACCATTTATGCTCTCTCATGCCTCTCCAGTTTGGTGGTATGGCAGACCATGATGGTGATGGCCTGCTTTTTGGCAGCTGGTTCTGTGCCCATCTGAAAGTAGGACTGGCCAAAGCCCTTTTGCCCTCTGTCCTTCCTAACTAATGATTGTCCTTAATTGTAGAAAAACAGTTATTCTCCAGCTAAAGCTTCTCTATAAAACAGATTTATTGTTCTCGTAGTGGGGGGGTGGGGGGAGAGATGTACCTGCACCTCTTGGGCCTACACAGGAAAAACAGCCAAACCAGTAACTTAAAGGTATTTATTATAGGAGGGTTTCTAAACTCACAGTCTTGAATGAGAGTGGGCACAGGCAGATCAAACATGGGTGCCTGGTTGCTTTCTTCACCTAGGCTACTGGGCCCTGGTCCACCCCTAGCTTAGCACCAGTGCCCACTCACTGCTCACAGAGGCCTCTGCTCTCCTGTCACACACAGCTAAACCCAGGTTCCCATGGGCTCTCAGCATTTCTGTACTTCAGGAATGATGTGTGCTCACTAAAGGTGGCTAGGTCTGTATTGTGCAGAGGGCGGAGAGATGAGTATGCAATAGGGAAAGCAGAACTTGAGGTAGGAGAGAGGAAGGTGGTGACAACTTGTTAACTAGGGACTTGGGAAAGGTTTGTGCTGTCTCCAAGCTTTCTTGCCTGCGCAGCTGGGATCAAGATAGTACTGGTGGGGTCAAGCAGGTGGTGTGGTTGAGACACTGGGCTCTGTGGCAGACTGCATTTCAAGTCCTGGGCCTGACATTTCCCGTCTCTGGTGAGCACACGTGCCCTGTAGCAAATTAAAAATAATGGGGGAAGGGGAAGCAGCAGGTGACATGGTTAAAGGTGTCGGACTCCCACATGGCCAACTGGTTCAAGTCCCGGACCTGGTGACTTGCATTCTCACTTTCCCTTTGTCTCTCTCTGCTCAAACTAGAAATAATAAAGCTAAATAAAATAATTATTTTTAAAAGATTTTGCTATAGGATACATGTGCTCACCAGAGAGAAAACAAGAACTCACTCCCCTCCCCATCCAGGGGGGATGGTCACACTATAATCCTTTCTCCATTCTCTTGGGATCTTGGCCATGCATGCACACATGCCCTGCATGAGTGTTAAGCCATCAGGTTCAGGACTTGAACCATGGGAGTCCAGCAACATAACTATGCCATCTGCTGGTCCCATAAATAATTCTTTAAAAAAAAAAAAAAAAAAGATACTACTGGTAAGAGCACAGAAGTCCTTGGAACCAAGCTGGAGATTTCTATGTGCAAGCCAGCAGATGTAAAAAATGTATGTAAGATACTCCCCATCTCACAAACTGTCTTAATATTTGAAAAGTCATCAAGGTCTCTTTTCTCTGGGCTTCTGAGCTCCAATGTGTCCTGTTCTGCTCACCAAATGAACCAACCCCATAGCCTAGTGGTTAAGGGAGCCACATCCCACTTGACTCTCCACAATTTTAATTTCGGCCCTGAATGGCTTGAAAAACACCCTGGGTGAGTGCATACGCATACCCAAAATCCCAATAGGATAGAGAAATGGAAGAAGAGGGATTGTGCCATAGCCACAACCTACTGGGGGATGCTTCCCTTTTCTCTGTCTGGCCAGTGTGTATACTCTGATGATTTAAAAATAAAAGATTATGGGGCCAGCAGGTGGAATGGTTAAGATTACAGTTCCGATCCCAGACCTGCCAGCTTGAAAGTCACACTTGGAGCATGTGTGTGAATGCTCCAAATCCCGGGAGGAGAATGAAGAAGGGATTCAGCATGGCCCTCCCTCTTGGGGAAGATTTTTCACTTTCCCTCTATCACTCTGACAAGTGCATGCACCCTATGATAAATAAATGAGGGGAACAGCAGGTGGCATGGTAGGTAGGGTGCTGGACACTCCTACATGACTGACCACACTTCAAGTTCCAGACCTGATGGCTTGCTTCTCACTTTCCCTCTTTTTCTGTCTCTCTAGTCAAAATAAGTGAATAAGGGGCTGGAATCCCACATGGCCAGCCATGATTCAAGTCCCAGATCTGGTGGCTTGCTTTCTCACTCTTGTCTCTGGACAAATTGAAGAGTAATAAATGCAATTAAATAATTATTTTTTAAGAAGCGAATGAATAAAATTAAAAAATCTTTAAAAAACAAAAAGCACCCTTAACATGATTTATTTTGCCATAATCCCCTCTCCCCAGCCCTCTTAACTTGTCAGGATTCTGGGCTCATATGCACATACCTGGTGTGTTTTCAGTTCAATTCTGGGATCCCAATCCATGGTCAGGCATGTGGCTTCCAGTGCTGCAGTTAAGTTTACCACTGACTGCACCATCAACTTAAATATTCCGGTTCACAGTCACCCCTACCTCCAATGCCTTCCCTGACAGCTCTCCTAAGGAAATGTTCCCTGTTGGGACCAGCAGATGGCGTAGACTCCTATGTAGTCGACCACAGTTCGAGTCCCGGACCCAATGGCTTAAACTCATGCAGGGTGCATGTGCATATGCATGTTTGCCCAAGATCCCAAGAAGAGAATGGAGAAGAGATTGTGGCATGGCCATCCCCCTGGGGGGTGATTTTTCACTTTCTATCTTTCTGGTGAGTGCACATGCCCTATAGCAAAAACCTCTCAAAAAAGAAAGAAAGAAAGAAAGAAATGTTCCTGGGTTCAACTAAGACAGGGCTCCCTCTGTCTAACCCGAAGGTGACATTGTACAGGCTACAATGAAATGACCTCTCTGATTCCTATACCTGGGTTGTAATTGAAGTGATAGGTTGCCTTCCTCAGGATGGAGGAAGAAAAGATTACCAGGGCGTGCATCTTCCCATAGGCTGACACCTAGTGTCCCCCAGGCCTGCCTTCTTCCACTTTGGCCTGGTGAGAGAGAAGCCTGGGGCCTTTGGAGCCTCTTAGTTGTCTCTGCTAGATGGAAAGACTGAGGCCTGGAAAGGGAGAGGCCTGAGGATTCTAATAGGTAAGACCCCTTCCCTTCCCAGACTGAGATATCCTGTCCCTGAGCCTATATCCCCCTTTCCCTTGAGATTTTTCTCTCTGTCCCTGTCACCATCATCCATTTAGTAGCTGAGTGCCTGCCTATAGGTCAAGAAGCATTATAGGCTTAGGGGATGGGGGCAGTATTTCTCCCTGCTGCTTCTGTCACTGCTGCCCCAGGTCTACTCTGGTGTGATGCAGCCCCTCCTTTGTCAAGCTATTTCTCAGTAAGCATGAACTTGGGGAAAGGATGATGGCTCCAGAGACAAATCATAAATCTGAACCCCTCATAGTCCCAGCATTGCTGAATAAGGGCCAGCAGTAATAGGAGTTTCAAGGCATGGGAGACCCAACACCAAGTTCTCCCAATGGCTTTGCCAGAGAAGCGTGTAATTGCCTTCCATTCCTCTCCCTCCCCTTCATGGGTCGTCCAGCCCTTTTTCTCCTAGATTCATAAATCTGACCGGTCTCTTGATTCTTTGCAGGAAGAAATCACATTTTATTCACAGCTAGCCTCCTCTTCCAGAGTGGTTGGTTTTTGGAATGGAGACGTGCGGTAAGAAGGTGTGCTGCTCATCTGGTTTTTTGTTTTGTTTTGTCTTTTGGTGATGGTTAGCAGGGTCTTAGAGTTGATCTCAGGATCACCACTGCTGTATGTAGTTTGTTGACTGAGAAGAAGGAGAGATGGAAAGCAAAACAAGTTAGTTAGCAATTTCTGGGCTGCAGGTTCAGAACACTGTGTTAAGCTCTTTGAGGCCAGAGGAATCAAAGTACCAGCCCAGTCCTTATCCTAAAAGTGCTAGCAGCACTTTTGCCCCTGTGTCAGAGAAATCTTTCCAAAGTTTCCACCATTTTGTATTTTCATTAAGAGTTACCATCCTGGGGGCCAGCAAGTGGCATAGTGGTCAAGGCAGTGGACTCCCATACAGAGGATTGTGGTTCAAGTCCCAAACCCTGTGGCTCAAAACTCACCATGAGTGCATGTGCACGTGTGCCCAAAATCCCAAGAGGAGGATGGAGAAGGGATTGCGGCGTGGCCATCTCCTATGGGGGGTGATTTCTCACTTTCTGTCTCTCTGGTGAGCACATGTACTCAATAGCAAAAAGAAAACTTTTTTTTAACTTTTTTTATTGAGTTAGGTTTTGTAGATTTTTTTTTTAGAGGTTTATTGCCTTAGGGTTTGTGCACTTGCTAGAGAGATAGAGACAGACAGACAGAGTGAAAGGGAAAGCAGGAAGTCGCCCCCCAGGAGGGATGACCATGCCACAATCCTTTCTGCAGTGTGATTTTCAAACCACCAGGTCTGGGACTCAAACTGAGGTTGGCCATGTGGGAGTCCACCAACATAACCACTACCCCACCCATCTGCTGATCCCAGCAAAAATCTCAAACAAACAAACACACACACACACAAAACAAACAAACAAAAAAACCTTTGTCAATGGGCTCATGGGCTTGCCAGAGAGAGACAAAGAGGGAGTGACAGAGGGGAATGAACCTCCATGAGATGTGATTATGTCACAATCTCTTCTCCATTTCTCCCTTCTTTCAAAATTTTGGGCTTGCATGCACACACGTCTGGTGAGCAATAGGCCCTACCTCAACACTTTTATAGGGGCAAGGAATGGAGGAATGAGCCATATAAAAGTGACTTTGAAAAAAATTCGATCCCCTTCCCTCACTGCTGCTAAGAAAGCCTTGCTGGGGGCAGCAGATAGCATGGAGGCTAAGGTAGCTAGATCCCACCCACCTGGCCAAATGTGTGGTTTGAGTCCCAGACCTGGTGACTTGAAAACCATGTGGGGGGCCAGCAGATGCCCTAGCGGTTGGGGTTCTGGATTCCCACATGGCTGACAGTGGTTCGAGTCCTGGACCTGATGGCTTACTTTCTCAATTTCTCTCTCTCTCTCTGGCCAAATTTTAAAAATAGTAATTTTAAAAAGAAAGAAAACAATGCTCGGCACTTGTGCAAGCGTGCCCAAGAGGATAAAGGAGTAAAAGGGATTGCATTGCAGCATGTCTACCCCCACACCAGGGGTGATTTCGTACTTTTCTCTCTCTCTCTGGCAAGCATATGTGCTCTATAGCAGAAAAAAAAAAAAAAAAAAAAAGGAAAAAGAAAGCAAGCCTCTTTGGACTATACACACAAGCAAGCACACTCTCAGACTCTCAGCCAGTCTGTCTGCCTTTTACTCTGTGTGTCTGTCTCACCGTGAGTCGTGAATACTTGGTGTTTTGGGTAGGGCTAGACTGGCATGGATTCATGAAATCTGGTGAACAAACAAAGCACAAGTTACTCATCTGACAGTTTCCAAGAATCAAACAAGGCAGGGCTGGACTCTGAGGGCAAGAGAACATGGCAGGCCCCTACCTGGGGCAAGGCATAGATTAAGTGTGGCACCCTGAAGATTGCTTACTAGGAAGCCATGCTGTGGTTCCTTCTCCCAGAACTCAAAGGATTTAATATATCCGTTAAGACTACAACTTATATCTCACCCTCTGACCACTCCTACCTCCTGTCACCTTCACCCTGGAAGAGGGGCTCAGCTGCCCTCCGAAGAAGCTGGCAGACTTCTTGGCAATCTAGGTTGTCACAGACCCACCCAGAGAGAGTGGCCACCCAGGAGGTGAAGGCTGAGTGCTGGGAGAGTCAGCGAGGGTGGAGTGTCAGGTGTGGATCTGGACCATAGGGCTGGGATGGAGCATGGGGCCCTCCCCTCACCCAGGCACCTCACGGACCTGAGCCAGCAAAGCTTTTCACCTGCCCATGGAAGGTGTTGTTCATACAGTGGGATTGCCCTCCAGCTTGCTGGGTATTCTCTGAGCCAAGCTGGGGGGCTGGCCTTCGAGAATCCTTCTGGAGCTGGCATTTGGAGATGCCCTGAGCAAGAGGGTCGTGGGCACTTTGTTGCTTTGGCTGAGATGATGGCTGTGTTGGTGGTGGCTGCACTGGTGGTTGCTTCTGTTGCATGGGTGCTGGCTGAGGCTCCTTTGATTGCTGAGCCAGCTGCAGGTTTTTACCAGATTGGTCTTCCTCCTCTTGGACTTTCTTCAGTTCCTGGCAAGAAGCCCCCAACAAGTGGTACCCTCCTCCCTTTCCACCCAGTAACTATCTGCTAGAGAGACTTCTGGGAGCAGAGCAAGAGAATGGAGAGGTATAGGTTGCCGAGAGGGTCTCTGTTCTCTGGAGTTAGAGGTTGAAGCTGCGGGCCCAGCTGTCTAACCTCACCCACCACAGCTTTCAGAAACTATTTCTGAGTGACAGTGCTCCCTGGCATAGCCTGTCTAGGAAATAGTGCTGTCTCTGAGCACCTGCCTCCTAGCTTAGGCACTGGACACTAAAAGCAGTGTTTGGTGCTGGAGGATAAAGAACAATTCTTTGCAAATGCTTTGAAACAGCACTATATGATAAAAAGATAATGCATGTCATGTGTGTGGGTTTTTTTGAGAGGTTTTTGCATTAGGGCACATGTGCTCACCAGAGAGAAAGAGACAGAGATAGTAAGAGGGAAAGGAGAAATCACCCCCCAGGGAGGATGATCACAGCACAATCCCTTCTCCTCCATTTTCCTCCTGGGATCTTGGCTATGCACACACATGTGCCCAACCTGAGTTTCAAGCCACCAGGTCCAGGACTCAAACTACAGTTAGCCCTGTGGGAATCCAGTGATGTAACCACTACGCCATCTACTGTGTGTAATTTTAAATTTTCTAGTAGCCACATAAAAAGGAAGAAGGAGGGACCAAGAGTTGGCATAATAGTTATGTCGCTGGACTCCCATGTAGTCAACCATGGTTCAAGTCCCAGACTTGGTGGCTTAAACTCATGCTGGGTGCATGTACGTGCGTGTGCGTGCATGCCCAAGATCCCAAGAGGAGAATGGAGGAGAAGGGACTGCAGCGTGTCCATCCTCTCTGGGGGGTGATTTCTCACTTTCTGTCTCTCTATCTCTCTCCGTCTTTCTGGTGAGTACACACGCCCTGTAGCAAAAACCTCTCCTAAATAAATAAATAGAATTATTTTATTTAACTGTATTTATTTTAATTTGACCGGAGAGGAACAGAGTGAGAGAGAGAAAAAAAGGGAGGAAAAGTGAGAAAACAAGCTGCTAGGTCCGAGACTCGAACTGCAGTTGACCATATGGGAGTCCAGCACCCTTAACCACCACACTACCTGCTAGCCCAAATAAAATAATTCTAATAAATAAATAAATAAAATCTACAGTTTAAAATGTAGTTTTGCAATAATCCCTAAAATAGACAAGTGAGATTACATCAAGCTAAAAAGCTTCCACACAGCAAAGGAAACAATAATTAGGGTGAAATGACAGCCATCAAAATGGAAGACATAGTTTCAAATTATCCCTCAGACAAGGGATTGATATTCAGAATATACAGAGAACTCAAATAGCTCACCCATAGGAAAATGAATGATACAATTTAAACATGGGCAAATGAATAGAATAGACAATTCTTCAAAGAAGACTTAGGAATAGCTAAAAGGCATACAAAAACTGTTTAGGGGGCAAGCAGGTGATGTGGTGGTTAAAGTTGTTGGATTCTCACATGGGGGATCAGAGTTCGTCCCAGACCTGGCAGCTTGCTTTCTCACTTTCTGTCTCTCTCACTCTCTCTGTCCCTTTCTGGTCAAATTTAAATAAATAAAGTTAAATAATTCTTTAAAAAAAAAAAAAAACTGTTTAGGGGACAGCAGATGGCATAACAGTTACCTTGCTGGACTCCCACATGGCCATCCACCGTTTGAGTCCTGAGTCCTGGACTGGCTGGCTTGAAACTCACACCAGGTGCGGGTGAGTGTGTGTCCAAGATCCTGGGAGGAGAATGGACAAGGGATTGCAGTGTGGCCATCCCCCTGAGGGGTGATATTTCACTTTTCACTTTCCCTCTCACTGTCTCTTTCTCTCTGTGGCAGATTAAAACCACAATAAGAGGGGACAGCAGGTGGCATGGTGGTTAAGGGCACTGGACTCCCATATGACTGACCATGGTTCAAGTCCCGGACCTGATGGCTTGCTTTCTCACTTTCCCCCCTCTCTCTTTCTCTCTGTCCCTCTCTGGTAACATTAAAATAAATAAAGTTAGATAAAATAATTTTTTAAAAAAGGAACAAACCCCAAAAATATATGTAAGTCCTCACAATATAAAACTACTAGTAGGGACCAGCAGGTAGCATGGTGGTTAAGGTGCTGGACACTCCCACATGGCTGACAATGGTTCAAGTCCTGGACCTGGTGGCTTGCTTTCTCAGTTTCCCTCTTTCTCTCTCTCTCTCTGTCTCTCTCTGTGAAATTAAAAAAATAAAATGAATAAATAAATAACATTTAAAAAAAATAAAAACTACTAGTAGACAGTTCAGCAGTTGGCATAGTGGTTAAGGTGCTCTCACATGGCCGAATGCTATACAAGTTCCAGTACTGGTGGCTTGAAAATCACACTGAGGGACCAACAGCATAATGGCTCTGTTGCTGAACTCCCATGTATTGGACTGTGGTTCGAGTCCCGGACCCAGTGGCTTAAACTCATGCTGGGTGTGTGTGCATGTGTGCCCAAGATCCTGAGAAGAGAATGGAGGAGAAGGGATTGTGGCATGGCCATCCCTCCTGGGGGGTGATTTCTCGCTTTCTGTCTCTCTGTCTCTCTCTGTCTTTCTGGCGAGCGCACATGCCCTATAGCAAAAACTTCTCCAGAAAAAAAGTGGTTATCCTATTGGACAGTATAATCTTTTTAAATACATATATACTTATTAAATCAAATCCACTTGTTATTATTTTTTAATTTGACCGGGGGTGGGGGGAGGAAGCGAGGAAGCAAGCCACCAGGTCCAGGACTCAATTCATGGTCTGCCATGTGGGAATTCAGCACCTCTAACCACCACACCACCTGCCAGCTCCAGGCCAGAGAGGTTTTAAAGCTCTGCTGTCCAGGGGCCTGTAAGTGGTGTGGTGGTTAAGGATGCTGGACTCACACATGGTTGACTGTGGTTCAAGTCCCTGAACTGGCAGCTTGGTTTCTCTCTTTTCCTCTCTCTCTCTCTCTCTCTCGTTTTTGCTGTCACTCAC